GCGGCCCCCCGGCGGGGCGCTGACCTACTGCAGGAAGGACCGCCTCCCGGTCCGGAAGAAGGACTCGATCTGCTCCAGCGAGCGGCCCTTGGTCTCGGGCACGCAGCAGCCGGTGAACACCAGGTTCAGCAAGCAGATGGCAGCGAAGAAGAAGAAAGGCACCTGCAGGCCGAAGGCGTTCTGGGGGCGGAGAGGAGCCGGTCACACGGCACCGAGGACCCTCCACCCCCGCGTGAGCTTCCTGCCCTGCTCGCCTTCGCCACCTTGGGGGCCTCCACCTGCTCTTCGCTCAGAGACCTGGGGCTCCCCCCTGCCTGCAGCCTGAGCTGTAGGGCCTTAGGTGGCACTCGAGGCCCCGGAGGCCTGCACCCAGCCTTCCTCTGTGTGGGCCTCGCTCAGCCTGCCCTGCCGGGCCCTCTGCCTCAGCCTCACCCCGGCACCCCTCCCCACCCAGTGCCGTTCTTATTCGTCTCAGCTGTTCATGCCCCTGCCTGCAGGAAGCCTGGGAGCTTGTACCTGCACTCCTGGGCCCCATCCTCCCTTCCTGCCCTGTGCCCATCTAGGCCTCTGCCTCCAGGCCTCTCACCCATTCTGGGCCCAGCCCTGCCTGGCCCTGGGTAGCACCGCCAGAGCTGCCCCATCGGACTCTGCTCGGGCGCTGGGGCTCAGATTCCACTGGCATCAGGGCCTGCCCGGCTGGGAACCCATGGGGGGGGTTAAGCCAGGTGGGCACCCTGTGTGTGGCATGCAGGATGCCACATGTGGCTGGCCAGGAGGGCACACTGAGACTCACTGCCCAGACAGGCCCAGCGGCCCCGGAGGGTGACAGAGCGAGCGGGCGGGTATGGCTTCCTGGCGGGAGGTCAGCTGACTTTCCAGCACAGCTCCCAGCCCACTGTCCTCTGTCCGGACCGTTAGCTGTCCTGGCCGCGTGGGCCGCAGTGTGGAGGGGCGGGCGGTGGAGAGCCCCCAGCACAGCCCCCAGCAGGGCACTCACCACCACTGGCAGGAAGGAGTTGGTGAGGGCGAAGGCGGTCAGCCAGCTGACCAGCACGCAGAGCCCCGAGGCCACGCCGCGGGCCCGCAGCGGCAGGATCTCAGACATGAGGAGCCACGTGATGGGCCCCCAGCCCATGGCGTACCCTGTGCAGGGGGGCAGCGGGGCAGTTCAGGCCTGAGCTGCTGAGAGACCCCTCCCCAGCCACCCGACCACCCAGGACAGCAGTGCCCTGCCCACGACACAGCCACCCCCCCCACTCCCCCCCATGACAACCCTGCCTCCCGGGCCGGCAGCCCCTGCCCCAACCGCCGCACCTACCCGTGATGAAGAGCATGGTGGCCAGCAGGGGTACCAGGGTGAGGAAGGTGGTGGGTGTGGCCAGGGGCTGCTCTGCGCCCCCCAAGGGCATGCTCTCGAGGCCCATGGTGTTGTTGGGGGCCACAGGCTTGGGGCCGAAGTGGATGTACAGCCCCAGTGTCACGTTGGCCGCAAACATGATGGAGGCTGTGGACGGACCGGTGGCCCTCGGGGCCAGGACCCTCTGAACTACGGCTCCTGGGAGCCCCTTCCACGGAGCCACCCCCGTGGCCCCATCTCCTCGGGCGCCATCCCAGCCCACGGGGACTGGTCACTTCCAGACTGGAAGCTCCCACATGTTCGGGCGTCCACCACACCCACACGCTGTGCCAGTGGCTGTTGCTCACAGGAGCCCAGCAGACCTCTGGGGCAGCCGGTGCGTGCCAGGCCCTGTGCCCGGGTGTGAGGCAGGGGCCACCAGGGCAGGTCCCACCCAAGCCCCTGGAGCCCAGCCACACGGCTCCCCCCTTGCGGGGCGCAGCCCCTGGCAGCTGCCGGCGGGGTGGGGGCTCACCTGAGACAAAGAGCAGGACCTTGCGGCCGGCCCGGTCCATGGTGAGGGCCGCGATCATCACTGCAAAGAGCCTCACGGCGCCCACGATGGCGGCGTCATCCTGCGGGGGCTGCAGGGAGGAGGCCATGGGCTGAGGAACCCGGCCTGCTTTCCTGCCCCACCGCCACCCCCACCAACCCTCAAGACACTCGGGGTCCTCAGGCCCCACACCCTGACCCCACCTCCTGGAAGCATGGAGCCGCTGAGCACCTACTAAGTGCCAGGCCCTTTCTCTGGCCCCTGCCCTGGCCTCGGGGCCTCTCAGGCAGGGGCGCAGGACCTAGCGGGACAATGCCGGTGGGACTGGCTCCACTAATCTTCAGATCTCATCGCCCTCTGTGCCCAGGGCCAGCAGTGAAGCCAGGCATCTGTTATCTCCTTTCTGCAGAGGCCGCCTGGGGCACGTGGCCCCAAGGCCAGAGGCGGACACTGTGACCTCCATGCCCAGAGGTCTGCACAGCCCTGACACTGGTTTTCTCTGTCATCCGGGACACTTCTTTAAACCTGTAAGCTCTACTCCCAAACGTTACTCTGAGAACGGGTGTATGCACGGAATCAGTTACCAGCCCAGGAGGCCTCCACCCGCCCGCGAGCCCGCATGCAGCACTGCAGGTCTAGGTGGGGCGGGCGGGCGCCAGGTGGGTGGCGCTGGGCTGGTACTCACCAGCAGGACGGCGGTGCGGGTGAAGATGGGCTGCAGGTAGACCAGCACGGGTGTGATGCCCGTCAGCTGCTGCAGGAAGCGCATGAGCACGGCGATGGTGATGGGGCGGTACATGTGGGGGTCCCGGGCCTCGGCCCATGACATGCGGCTGCTCTGGAGACACAAGTGCTGCTCAGGCGGCAGGGCCAGCCCCTCCAGCGGTGTCGCCTGCCCTGGGCTGCATGGAGCTAGGTGGGGACTCCCTGCTTCCCTCCTCTGGGAAACAACCCAGGCCAGGGGGCAGGCTGGGGGACCCCTGCCCAGACCCCCAGCTCCTGGACCAACGGTGGGTCAGGACAGACGCCTGTGTGGCAGGCTCTCGGGTCCCTAGGCATCCCCCGCACGAGCGTGGCCTCCGGGTCAGGTAACCCAGTTTCCGGGAAAAGCCAGCGAGGCTCAGAGAGGCCGCGGCCACAGAGCTGTGGGCGCCAGAGACGGGTGTGGGGCAGGGCGCCCCCCCCCCACCTCCACTGCACCTGTCTCTGCACGTTGTCCTGGATCTGCTGGAACTCCCAGCGGATGTCGGCCTGGGCCCCGCGCAGCCAGCCCAGCGCCTGCAGGGCCTCGGCGTCGCGGCCCCGGGACAGCAGGAAGCGCGGCGAGTTGGGCATGAAGCTGAGCAGCAGGATCATGACGACCACGGGCCCCTCCCCGGCCACGGCCAGCCAGCGCCACGGCAGCAGGAGGCCTGCGGGGAGGAGGGAGGAGCTGGGGTCCGGCTGGACGCGGGGCCCCTTCCCTGGGCTCTGAGCAACCTCACCTGCCCTCAAGGCTACTCCCAGCGCCACCTCCTATGGGCACCTGCCCCATCAGCCCAGCCCTCTGTGTTCTGGACCAGGAGGGGCCCGGGGATGGCCTGGCCCCTGGCCCAGGGCCCTGGAGGGTCTCAAGGCCACAGCGGGGCGATGGAGGGGTGGCCTGAGCAAGCAAGAGCCGGGCCTCCACCCCCACCCCTTCCTGCCCTCAGCCGGCTGCCCTGATCCCCCTTCTATGTGGATCTCCCACTGAGACTGCTGGCCCAGAGCCGCCCCCGCCCAAGTAGGGGGGTCTGGTGACCAGAGGGGCAGGGAGCTGCCGGGGGTACACTGTGTGGTGCGGCCGGGAAGCCAGGTGTCTCCCCTCCCAGCCTGCAGCTCATTTGGGGGCACAGCGTTCCCTTCCCACCACGTCGGCTCAGGCACCCCCTCCCCCCCATCCTGCACAAGGAGGTGCTGAGCACTTGTCTTACCAAGCGCGTAGAGAGACAGCGACCCGAACACGGCCATGAGCTGGGGCGTGGACCCCAGAGCCCCACGGACACCGGGGGGAGCAATCTCAGACAGGTACACCTGCAAGACCCCCCACCCGACCTGCGGTGAGGACACAGGCCTGGCCCAGGCGGCCGCGTTGGCGATCCTTGCAAAGAGGGGGGTGGGGTTTCCGGTGGGTCCCTCGTCCTGATCACGACTCACCGCATGACCTCCCCTGGGCCTCAGTTTCCCTAACTGTCAGGGGGGCAGAAGCACTCGGCTCTGAAACGGGGAGTGGGAGAGCCCGTCTCTGTTCCCCTG